TGAAATGAGTTGGTGACCACCTGAAAAGGTAATTCTTTCCTCCGTCGGTTTCTTCTAAGCTCAGTGGCAAAGGAAAGGGAATCTTCGCAAACACCAACCCATTCCCCATTCAGAAAAACCTTATCTTTCCCATCAACTGAGCTCGATGTATCACTATCCACTTTCTCCATTCCAGAACCAAACAACTTGTCAACTATGGGTTCCACTACATTCGTACTCACAAGTGCTGTGGTAGCCAGGTTTTTCACAAGCTCACAATTTTCACCAAACTTTTCCCCAATGAGATGGATGTCTGCAATAGAAAATTATATCAGAACCAAACAACATTGCAGCTGACAAACATCTCAACAAAATCAAATGCTCAAAAGATAAATCATTAACTTCATATTTCAAACCCTAAATAAAAAACAAGTTGATGTGGATGCCTTTATTGGAAAGCAATATCAGAGAAGGAAAGCAATGAATATAGAGAGAGCAGCAAATTAGAGTTTTATTTGTTTCCCCTATTACATTAGATTTTTATTTCCTTTATAAGTTTAGTCTTGCAAGTCAATATAGAAAAAAACTACACTGTTTTGATGTGATATAAATACAATAAGTGATACACAGTATGCAGCAATTCATTGCCACACAATTGAATAAATTAAAAGCTACTAAGCTCATTTTATCGGTATCACAAAGATATGAATATAGAAGAACTTTCATTGATTCAAATAGATCCCCATAAGGTACAACAAATATTGAATATTTGAAGCAACAGATTACTAGGAAAAAAAATAGTCTTGATAAAACTTACGGGTATCTTGCATCTCCAACCTTTCCAGTGTATGAGACCTGCTGACGTGTTTTCCTCAAATCAACCATTGTCTGCAATGGATTTGCTAGTCCCAGATTCGCCACTACACCTGAAATTCTTTCCATCTTTTTGTAAGGATGTGACCATGCACCAGTAGAAAACGCTCTAGAGAGCCCATTTGTAACTATGGAAGCATCCAGATAATGCTCAATTGGACGAACAGTACGATCTGCATAAAGATCTCTCTGCAGTTACGTTGACATTCGCCTCCTTGCATGCGCAATGTGAACTTTTAGTTCACACTCAAGCAACTCACCAGCCATCTCTAACCTATTGTTCCTGAAATCATCTCTGTTGTCGCACTTTCTTCAACGGGAAATCTGGTTTCCTTGCTTAATTTGTCCAAATGGTTCAGAGCATTTTTTTCCTTCACGAAAATTAGGACATTTCCAATCAGCGTCTTGAATTGAGGCAAACAATATGTTTGATATACCGGAGTCATAGCTTCCATAACCAATCAGATCTACAACTTCTTTGTCTGATACAACACCAAGGGCAAAAAACAAAATCCACGCGGGAATCTCAATTGACAAGAAATAAACGGTCAGGATTTCTCCCCCCCCCCCCCATTGATATGTTCAATTTTAGAATTCTCCACTAGTCTAATAATCAATCTATTTCTCTTCACCTTCGACCCGTGAGCAACCGTCCAACCCTGTACGTTCGAAATCCACAATCTCTTCAAAGAAATCTGCTCTTGTGCGATTAATATCTATAATTAAACATAGAAAAAACATCATATACGTCAAAAGACAATAACTAAAATGCATTCGGCTCTATAAATAAAACGCTCAGCACACTCAAATCCTGTCCAGCAACTATGGGTTATGGACAACAAATAACAGGTCAACCGAAATAACAAATATACCTTTTCTGAACCCTTCATCAGAAAGTAGCCTCCATAGTCAAAATCACAATTGGCCTTTTCAACCTGATTCAACCAACAAGGAATACATGTGTGATGAGTGTTCTAAATTGAGAACATTTACTTGTTCTAAATTGAGAACATTTACTTGTTAATTATTTGATCTTGTAGATCTATTACTGTTGATTTGGTTGTATTGTACTAATTTTCGTGTAGTATATTATTTTCCAGAATTAGCAATAAAAATTGCGTATTTTGTATTTTTATTATTATTTTGTCACAACTGGAGACATGGGCACCACTCTAGGCATGACACGGTCTGACGTGACAGTTTTTAAAAGGTCCAATCAACAACAGTTTTCTAGAAGATCTAAACAATTGATCAAACTATTGAAAAATCATCGAAAATCATAAATCAGAGACAAACATCGTGATAAAATTATTTACAAACACAAATCACGTATTCAAATTTAATCTGATGATCCAAAGCAAGAATATCATCAAGATAACAAATAATTGTCTTCTTGATTAGTTGAAGTGACATCAAATAAAACCTTGATAAAAACAAAACAAAAAGGATGATCAAACGATTGATAAAGAAAATGAAAAGCACACAAAAAGAATAAGGAAAATATACCATAAAGACAAAGTTGTTAGAAACTAAAAAAGAGAGATAAAGATGAAAATGCAATATAATAAAGTAAATGGAAAACAAGGAATATATGTGTGATGAATATTCTAAATTGATAATTTTTGCTTGTTAATTCTTTGATCTTTTGGATTTATTACTGCTGATTTGGTTGTATTGTGTTTATTTTCATATAAGATATTATTTTCTAGAATTAGCAGTAAAAAAGATGCATTTTATATTTTTTATTATTATTTGGTCACGGGTGGAGACAATGGCACGACTCTCGGCATGATACGGTCTGACGTGGTAGTTTCCAGAAGGCCCAATCATCAACAGTTTTCTAGAAGATCTAGTCAGCACCTTCTGAAAGGTGGATGGGCATAGATATCTTAGGAGAGTTTATTTTTGAAATTTAAAGTTTGAATTTGAAAACATTTGAAATTATCTTTAGGATTTATTTATCTTTTAATTTTCATGTTTATATTTAGGATTTTAGAAGCTATAAATATCCCATTGGGGTAAGACTCAAAACACACTTATTTTATATTTAATTCAGCAGCTTTCGGTTATTTGGTTTTATAAAAGTCTTTCTTTCGTTTTATTTTTATTTTATTTCAAGTTTTATTTTTAAACATGTTAAGTATGACTTATGTCATGATTAGCTAATTTTCTCATAAACCGAAAGGCTAAGGGATGACTCAATTCAATATGTGAGAATTGAAAATCACTTAACATCTTCAGGATGTCATTCTCAGTTTCTGGAAACTTGGATAGGTAATAGGCATATCCTTTAAAATCAAAACACTATCATTTTAAAAAGTCGACGTTGGTCTGGATGTTGTTCTGATTTAAAGTCAGGAGGAAAGATCGACTTGTAGCATATCCGACTTCATGTGAACACACTTAGCGGCAGTCTGTTAAAGGAAACTGATATTGGGTTCGATTCTCAGCGAGACAACAAAATCCGAGTTGGGCTTTTCCTATCATGGTTTTCATAACCGGAACGGTTAGCGAACCGACCATGCTACCGGTTCACTGGTTCAACCGGTCGAACCGGTCCGACCGGTCGGAAGAACCGGACGCCGTCATAATTATTTAAAAAATTAAATAAAAATACAAAAAATATTTAATAAAAAATAATTTTTTATATCACAAGTCATATTCAAAGCAAGTCATAACATATATAAGTTAAAAACCTTAAAATCAAGTGAAACAAAATGATTCAAATTAACTACAACATAATATTTAAGGTAAAACATATTAAATAATAAATATATTATATAACTATAATTAAAAATAAATTTGGGGCTAAAAAATCATAATAAAATGATATTGTTTTGTTTACTTTTTTTAAAATAATCTCACATGGTTAAGAAACATAAAAGAGCATCCCAAAAAGTCTAAAGAGTAAAAATATGAGAACAAAACAATCCCACATGACTAAGAAACATAGAAGAGCATCCTAACTAACTTCTATAAATAATAGAGGTAATTTGTCATTCAAAATCATGGAGCCTCTTGGTGAGCATTGAGTGAACTATTCTTTCACTTCAACCAAGCTCGAATTTTAGGCTTCAATCGAGCTTCTAAATTTTTTTTGAATTCAAGTTTCAATATTATATTTCGAGTTCGAGTTGAACTTGATAATTTTTAGCTCGTGAGTTTGAGTCGAGTTGAGCTTACTTTTAAAGTTTTCAAGTTCGAGTCGAACTCAGCAATACTCGAGTTCGACTTGGCTCATTTAACAAACGACGTCGTTTGGTTTAATTTTTTTTAAAAAAAAAAACAAAATTGGTGGTTTTTTTTTGTTTTCAGTCGGTCCAGTCTGAACGGTTCAACAGTTCCGGCCGGTTCACTAGTAGCAGTTCAACCGGTGTAGATTGAACCAGACTAGGCAACAGTTTCTAGTTGAATCGGACGGTCCGATCCGGTTTTCAAAACACTGTTTCCTATACTAAAACTGTTTTGTACTAACTATGATTGTCGTAGTTGGTTCAATTAAAAGTTGGATTTCCAAAGATTAGCCTTGAGAAAATCGATTACCAAAGTGAAAAGTAAGTTACAAGGGTCGAGTTTTGTAGACTGTAACTGATGTGAATCCCGAAGTAAAAATTTATTTTCGATGATCAGAAACGAATTGAGTCAAAGCAAGACTTGAGGTTGTTTTTTAGCATAGTTATTTTCAACTTTACATTTTCAAATCTTCTTTATTTCCACTCTTTATTACTTTTTTTATTCAACCTTTTTTTTTATCAAAACCCTCTCTTTATTTTATTTTACTCTAGATCATAACCAATTCAAATTCAAATTTGAGAATTTTCTAAATCCCTGTGAATCAACTCTTATTTCTTTTTACTACGTCTTTTCCTTATTTATTTCAAGAAGAAAGAATTTATTTGATAGTAAAACGACGATTGTCAATGTGGTTGGCAACTAATAGCAAGATCAAACTTAATGTTAACAATAAATTAAAAATTAATAATAATTTAATGATTAAAATAAAAACTAAATAATAGGTAAGTGGCCAAATAAATAGCTTACTCAAAAATTAATTATCTCGATCAAGTATTGTTTTAAATCTTTACACTCAAATCTTAAACTAGAATTGAAAATTTTATTTGAAAAGTAGAATTTAATTTTTTTTAATATTTTCCATTATTGATAATCATCGTAATTATTATAGACCGTATTGATAACATATACCATACGAAATAAAACAAGTGATTATGTAATAAACTTGTGCAGTCCTACTTGCAGAGTGAAGCCAGCACACGTCGAGGTGGGTAGAACGGACGTCGAGAATGAAGAACGGCCCAATTATCGATCAACAAAACATCTCCTTTCTTCCAAGGGATAGCAACACATTCATCTTCAAGGATTTTGAGGCAGTCATAGATGATGTCGGCCGGTAACGGTTGGCCGTCACCAAAAGTGACCGCTTTCACTGGGTCGTTCCTCGCGTCTTCCCACCCGGTGTACGCGGCCACCATGCTGTTGAACCAGATTTTGCGTTGCCTTGATCTGTCATATTTAATGGCTGGAATTGGCCCCATTATTGTTTTCACACCGTCTCCCATCCATTCCAGCTTCATCCCTAGCTTTGCAGCCCTGCGATAAGTTTGCGATTAATTATTTGTACGCTGTCTGTAACTTCTAGCAAGAAAAAATAAAAAACTGCATAATAATAAAATTAGCTCCCAACATTTATACAAATGATAACTTTGATCTCTATTTTTTTTGCGAGTATTTTAGTCAATCAATGTTTCTATTTTTTGTCAAAATAGTTCATGTGGATGAAACCATATTCTTTTGCGATTAATGATTTATGATATATTCTTTTTGGTTTAGAAGGAGAGTTATTAATTGACGGTGTTTAGTGTTTCAGTTTAGAGATTTTTTTCAATGTGTCATGAGAATTTTATTCGGATCATAATACATCTATTTTCCGGATCGAGTAATCATAATCGAATATAATTAAGGATGAAGTTTGTAAAAACATGGAGAGGGAGCCACTGACCTTTCCTCAGCTACAGCCTTGTCGGATGTCAAGAATGTTGATTTCCAGCCACGACCAATGGGAGATGAAGGATCGTCGTCCTCCCCTAACACCCTCGTGTATATCAATCCGTGCTCCTCCAGTCGAGCCACGAATTCTGGGTATTTCTCCTTCATTTTCTCGTACACAATGTGGCTTAGAACTATGGGTGTTTCTCCTCCAGTTCCTGGCTCTACTTCACAAAAGAAGAACAACTTCGATGGAAATTCAGGCACCTTGTAAAATCAAATGGAAGAAAGAAAAACTATTAATTTTGATTTAAAATCAATACCATTCAATCGTAAATTCATAATTTATCTATTCAGATCGTAATATCAACAATATTCGTACTTATCCGAGCTCCACATTACTTGAAATATAAACTTCAAAGTTGCCTAAATACATCATTAAATTTTTAGGTGTTATTTTGTTGAGATTCATTCACTGTTAAAAGTTATAAAATGATCACTCGATAATTTATATATTCTAAACTCGTCATTTTTAATTAAAATTTTGACGGTCGTCTAAACTATAGACGTGTTAATATATTGACTAAGATATGATCATCGTTTAAGATCCTAAAATCAAATTTTATTATATATCAGTCATTAGGTTAACACCTAGTTCAGACTGTCGTCAAATTTTTAATTAAAAATGACGAGTTTAGAACATATGATTGTCGGATGATCATTTTGTAACTTTTAACAACTGAAGGACTTAACAAAACAACATCTTATAACCGAGAGAAATATTTTATAACATTTTATAGTCGAGAGAATAACAAAACACTCCATAGTCAAGGGATCATTTTTATACTTTACCCATTTTTAAAATTCAATTTCTCTTTGAGAATTTATTCTCTTTATTTATTTGATTGATCGTATTAATAACATATTATATTAATTTTTAATATGGTACTAATTAGACTTTTGAATAGTAGAATTTCACGTTAAAAAAATAATGGAATTAGATCAACAACATCATCAATGGGACTTTAATATTTAAATCAGACAAATAGTCATAGGCGAATAAATTTCTGAAATTAAAAATAGTGACTCAATTTCAAGAGTTAGAAGAAAAGGGGGACCGAGGACAAGATAAACCATAGCCAAAACCTATTTATTTTATTAAATTTCGAAAGAGCAAATAACTTGTTTTTCTAACATTATATAATATTATCTACTTATTTTTATGGAAAAATACCTTATTACATATATACTTTAATATATGAGTTAATTGTATTTAAATATTCTATTTTACCTCAAAACTATGATTAATTTTATATTGATCCTCAAACTTTTATACATTTCAAATTCATTCCTAAATTATAACTCTCATTTTAAATTGGTCTCCAAGCTTTTGAAAGTACCACTAATGTGACCCAAAATAATTTAAAATTTTAGGGATGAATTTGAAACATTCAAAGTTTGGGATCAATTTAGAATGAGAGTCTTAAATTGAGATTGAATTTAGAATGTTCCAAAGTTTATAGACCAATTCAAAATGAAAGATATGGTTTAAAGATGAAATTAAAAATTTTAGGGACTATTTTAGAATGAGAATTATAATTTGAAAATGTGAAAGTTGAATAAACGAAAAGTTTTTAGTTGAAATATATAAGGGATAAAATAATTTTTAATCCTCAATTTATATATAAACTTTTTTTATTATACAATACTATTGTTCCAGTACTAAAAATGAAAAATATGTCAAGTTAAGAGACCAAGTTCAAAATTGCATAATTCAATAACTAAAAGTTACTAATTTATTCCAATATAAAAAAACAAAGAAAAAGTTCAGGCCGGTTTTTACCCGTAATCATTTTATGATTTCCCGTCAGCTAAGTGTATAGCATTACCTGAGCCATCTCATGATGAAAAGGGATCTTTTGATCAGGCGGCGATTCATTCGCTGTAAAAACACGGCCGACGACGTTAGTCCGAGGAGCAGCGCCGCCAACGTACGGCATCTCCTCGAAGCCAAAAGCCTCGACGACGTCGTTGAAATCTTTCGCCGTTTTCACGGGGAATCCCCTGAAGAGCACAGCTCCAGATTTGAGCAACAATGAGTCGAGAAAAGGCTTTTGAGATGTGATTTGATAGGTGAAATCGGAGAGAGAACTAGATGGGCTTGGTTTAGGGTTGGGAGATAGAATCGACGGAAAATTGAAGGAAACGTAGTGTTTTTGGTGATTGAGGAGTTGAGTTTCGATGAAGTAGTCAGTAGCTTGGACTGCCATGGCTGAAAAGCTTGAGAGTGTTGTTTTGTTTTCTCTTTCTTTCTTTTTTTCCGGATAATATCGATTTAAGGGAGGAGGGAGCGTGGAGTACACGGAACGACAGTGGATGTGGTGATGGTTTTGGAACATCGTAGAATGTGATTTGCACGGGTTATGCGTCTAGGTTCAACGTGGTCCGAAATATGGATTGCAAAATTAGTGGTGGTTCTAGAAGGCCTATGAATTATGTGAAGTATATGATCCAACTCGACTGAGGACTCTTTGGGTCGTTCTGCGGTGCGGCGCCTAAAAAACGGCTAATATACGGTGTGACCGGTTAAACAAGTGACCGGTTAAAATTTAGACCGGTTATGTTATATTATTTAACCGGAAATATTATAAAGTACAATAACATACTAGGTAGCGCTTATATAATGTAATAGGTAACGCTTATATTTACCTATTTTATAAGTAAACCAGTATATTTATACCGATAGCATTGCAAATTTACCTATTACATTATATTATATTGAAAGTGTCCATACTTTTTATAAAAAGGATCGATACTTTAACAGTGTTTCATGTTTTCCACCTACAATATTGATTTAATAATTTCATTTGCACAAAAAATTATTTGATTGTTTTGATATTTATAAAATATTATTTAGAATTTTTAATTTAATAATATATATACGTAACGTAAAAAATAAATCATTAGACGCCTATAATTACTAAATTAATATCTTAAAACTCACTCAAAAGATAACCTTAAATTAATGTTTTCCACAGTGAAAAAAGTATGGACACTTTTATAAAAAGGATAGACACTTTACAATATAACCACTACCTATTGCTTGGCATCATATGAGATTTGGATTTTGATTTCCTTTTGCTTGGCACCAAATGAGCTTTGGATTTTGATGAGCATCGGAAGTATTTCAGACTTATGATTTGGGTGGTACTCAACTTATGATTTTAGTTGCTATTTGTTACATTTCTTGTATACCACCCAGATCATACGCCCGAAACGTTTCTGACGCTTTAAAGTTGACCAAAAATAAAATGGTCGGGATTTCCCTCGCGTTTATACGTTGGAAAAAAAAAATGGAAATTAGGAATAATCAATGATAACATGCATATTGGCTTGGGCTAATATTTATAGTGGAGCCGAATATATATTGAAATTCAAACTCAAATTGAAATTTAAATTCAAACTCCAATTACATATGAAATGAATTTGAAATGCAGTGTTAAATTGAACATGAAAATTGCATAATTGATTCATACTGTTCAAGTAACATGCTTTATGAACCATCAAGCTAAAAGACAATATTGATTGAGTTCAAAGTTGAGTTGTGAGTTGATGGAGTTGTCACACTTGTCACATGGTTGGAATAAAGTACTCACATGCGAGATAGATACCTATTACATTATATAAACGATACATATTACATTATATAAGGGCTACCTATTACATCATATGTTTACCTATTATATTGAAAGTGTCCATACTTTTTATAAAAAGGATCGATACTTTTTTTAAAACTTATGTAATTTATGTTTCAATTTTTTAACAGTGTTCATGTTTCCACCTACAATATTGATTTAATAATTCATTTGCACAAAAAAAATTTGATTGTTTTTATATTTTATAAAATATTATTTAGAATTTTTAATTTAATAATATATATACCGTAACGTAAAAAATAAATCATTAGACGCCTATAATTACTAAATTAATATCTTAAAACTCACTCAAAAGATAACCTTAAATTAATGTTTTCCACAGTGAAAAAAGTATGGACACTTTTATAAAAGGATAGACACTTTACAATATAACCATTACCTATTACATTATATAAACGATACCTATTACATTATATAAGGGCTACCTATTACATCATATGTTTACCTATTATATTGAAAGTGTCCATACTTTTTATAAAAAGGATCGATACTTTTTTTAAAACTTATGTAATTTATGTTTCAATTTTTTAACAGTGTTTCATGTTTTCCACCTACAATATTGATTTAATAATTTCATTTGCACAAAAAATTATTTGATTGTTTTTATATTTTATAAAATATTATTTAGAATTTTAATTTAATAATATATACCGTAACGTAAAAAATAAATCATTAGACGCCTATAATACTAAATTAATATCTTAAAACTCACTCAAAAGATAACCTTAAATTAATGTTTTCCACAGTGAAAAAAGTATGGACACTTTTATAAAAAGGATAGACACTTTACAATATAACCATTACCTATTACATTATATAAACGATACCTATTACATTATATAAGGGCTACCTATTACATCATATTTTACCTATTATATTGAAAGTGTCCATACTTTTTATAAAAAGGATCGATACTTTTTTTAAAACTTATGTAATTTATGTTTCAATTTTTTAACAGTGTACTGCGAATTTAAAATGATAATATACTTGTAGTTATTGTACATACCTAAATATGTACTGCGAATTTAATGTTGTACCCACCCTTTAACTACAGAAACATGTTCAAAATGAACCTTCGTTTACATATCCATCAACTCCTGGAGCACTGAACTTGCACAACAAAATTTTTGCCATGGATAATACTGATGTAGACAATGTTAAGCCAACCGAGGAATGCCATGAAGTACATAATGTTGATGAATCTGACAGATTGGTTGGTCAGCTCTTCTGTTCACGTGATCAAGCTTGGCACTTTTACAAGGGATTCGCACGGGAACATGGGTTTAGTGCACGTAAGGGAACAACACGGCTTGACGTGGAAGGGAATGTGAAGACACAAGATTTGTTGTTCCAAAGAAGGGTTTTCGAGTATCAAAAGTCAATACTGTTGATCGTCAACGTGCTCATACGCCAGTCACAAGAACAGGATGTAAGGCTAGAGTCGTAGTTACAGCAACAAATACAAACGATCAGTGGGTTATAAGTAAGTCTGATCAGAAACATAATCATGCATTGTGCACATCTGCTATGACACCATTTATGCGTCTAATCGAGCTGTAAGTAAGGCTGATATCGATGAGGCAACAACATGAAAGAGGTCGGTGTTGGCACGTCACAAGTAATGAACTATTTAACGCAGCAGGCAGGGGGCTATCATAATGTTGGATTACACATAAAGACCTCTACAATGCACTTCAAAGAGGTAAAGCAAAGGAAATCGTCGATGGGGATGTGAATGCGCTTATTGCCTACTTTGATTATAAGAAACATGATGATCCGGGTTTTTTATGACATACTCGGTAGACGAATCGGGGCATTGTATAATCTTATTTGGTCGGATTCTACATCGAGATCGGATTACACATGCTTCGGTGATGTAATGCGTTCGACACAACGTACAAAGATAATTTGTATGTCGACCAATTATGCCTATTGTTGGTGTCAATCATCACCATAACACAATTGTGTTTGCCACTGCCATAATCGCTGACGAAACGTCTCAATCTTTCGAGTGGGTGCTACAGAATTTTTAGAAGCCATGATGAATAAATCACCTATTTCTGTTGTAACCGATGGGGATAGGGCAATGCAGAGGGCTATCAAATCTGTTATCCCTTATGCTAAGCACAGATGTTCTTGGCATCTTTCTCGCAATGCACAAGCTAACATTGGTGACCCAAAGTTTACAGCAGCATTCTCAAAATGCATGGCTTCCTGGTGGACAACCAAGGAATTTGATATTCAATGGCGTTCGATTGTTTCAGAATTCAACGTCCAAAAGCATCCATGGGTGATTGAGAAGGGAAATACACGACACTTATGGGCACAAGCATATCTAACCGGTCATTTCTTTGCCAATATTCGCTCAACACAAAGGTGCGAGTCTATGAATGCTTCACTAGCTATTGCACTGAAACACAAGAAGACATATTTAGATTGTCCGTGCAATTGAAGATGGAATTAGTAGAATGCGTATGAACGAGTTGAAAGCGGATTACTTAAGTTCCCATACGAAGCCCTTCCAGATCACAAAACTGGTCGACCTTGAAAGCCATGCCGCTGCGATTTTTACCCGCGAATCTTTCGTGTGTTCCAAGATGAACTTACACGGGAGACATTGTACCGGATTGAGGCAGAGATTAAGTCCTTATCAGATGAATGTCAACATTATATTTTGTCAAAGTACGCAGAAAAAAATAGGAAATTTGAATTAGTTTGATTCTCGTACGAAAACTCTAATTTGCTCCTGCAAAAATTCGAGACCGTTGGACTTCCGTGTCGCCATCAACTTCACATTTTGAAGCAATTGGACTACACATATTTGCCCGGGACTTTGATTCAAAGTAGGTGGACTAATGATGCGAAGGCTTCTGCACCCAGCTATGTTGATTTGAATGTGTCTCCAGAAGTGATGCAAATGGCAAGGTTCGCTGCTCTACGTTCAACGTCAAGTAGGTTATGCTACATTGCATCAAAGACAGACGAGTCTTTCAAAACCGCAAGAGATGAGATGAAAAAACTAATAGAAGAATTAGAAAACTCGTTTGGTTTGAATCATTCAGTCAACCAGAGCATTGTAGTAAACAATGTTCGTGACCCTCAACGAAAACAACGCAAGCGAAAAGAAGTGCCGAAGAACAAGGTCGATAAGCAAATTAGGCGATGTGGGTACTGCAACGGTGAGGGGCATAACAAACTAACATGTCCTCAAGTCAAGCTTAGTTTGAGTACAAGCACACAGCCTACATCAACTGATTTTTTTCGAAGACGGAATGGAATGACAACGATCTCCATATAATATATCGTAAGTATCAACATCACTCCTATTGTATGTACATATAAATATTTTGAATGAAGGAAGAAAAACCGCGTTACTTCAAATTACCGACACTTTTTTAAATGGTATGGACATAAAGTACCGACACAATATTATAAAGTGTCGATATAGGTTGTAGACCTATTCGCTCATAAAAACCGGTATATTTATACCGGTTATATTACAAAATTATCTATTACATTATAATTATGGGTTCCGATGTGTAAAATGTCGACACTTTTTTAAATCGTATCGACAATTTTTCTTCCAATATGGACATAAAGTACCGACACAATATTAA